TTTTTTTTTTTTTTTTTTTTTTTTGTGGAGAGCTGGTTGATTTAAGTGTTATACACCTGTTATAAGTTGCCTGAGTGTTAAAGTTGATAACATAATTGATTTTGTTATATGATAAGTATTTGCTTTATCTGCCAGTATAGATTATTACTGAGCTCATTAAAAATATTTTATGTTATTTGTGGGATGTCAAACTTGTCAGTCTCTTTACAATTACTGTAAATAATAAAGTATCGTAAATAGTTAGTTAAGGTGTGGTCTTGTCGGGGGAGGACCATGGGAGAGCACTCCAGTGAGTGGTGCTCCCAGCCTGTAGACTGAGTGGGAGTAGATTGAGACCTACTGGCACCCCAGAATCCCACAAATTTGGACATGGTTGCGGGTAGCACCATACCCAGGGTTACAGTGTGAATCATTTGCACACCTGAAGGTAAAAACAGACATCTGGTTCATCCCAGGTCTGATTGTCCTGGGCTTTGACTTGCATCAAAATAGATACAGGGCGATTTGTTTTCATGTAGCCTGACTATCAGTTAACTCAAATTTGTCTCGATTATCCCAGGGAGCAATTTTTATCTCCGATACTTCACAGGTACTCAGAGTGGGACAATGATGGGCTTGTACATCTGTAAAATCCCAGGATAAAAGGCTTTGTCATAGGACAAATCCAGTATCTGTGTTTACCCACACAACACTAAGATATAGCACCCTAGGGTGTTGCAACACCTTTGGTTGAGAATCACTGAAAATTAGACTGAAACATTGTGTTGCTTAATCACTGCCAACCAAAGGAAGCTAAGGTTAGCAGGAGTAAACAATCCACTGAAATGCTGTAGGAATATCTGAAAACTCATTGATTTACAGGATGAAAAAAGTGAAGGAGATGAGAGAAGTGAAGATTGTGATAATGAGGAAGCAGAAGTTAGTGATGATGATGAAGAAGAACTGTTAAGACAAAGGCAGGGCTTGAAGAAAAAATTGTAAGTACACCTGTCTCTGAATTGCCTGCGAATAACTGTAATTGATGTTATTAGAAACAGGCTGCAGTTTCTGAAAAAAAATTGAGGCTGAGTGTCTCGCTTATCAAGAGGACGTATATGTGCCTGTGAGGGCTTAGCTTTGAAAGTCATTTCTTTTTGCTTTGGCACTGTCATTTTATATGAATTAGCTGCATAGCTCTTAACTTGGACAAGCAACTGGGGCATGCATAACCTTTTATAAGAAAGAGCAGTAGATCAAGGTAAAAGTAACATATGCTTTTCTCTTTTTCCTTGTTGAAATAGGACTGCTCTTCATATTTCTCATGTCTTAAGAACTTTCATTTAGAGCAGAGGTGCTCAATCTCTGGCTTGCAGGCCAAATGAGGCGCAGGGAGCCTTACAGTCTGGCGTGTGAGTCTCCCCATGGGTTGGAAAATTTGGTGATGGGGGAACAGTGGCAGCATTAACTGCCACTGCCAAAATCCCAAGCCCGGTGGGCTGAATTGGAGCCAGGCTGTGATCCTTTTCTATGTTTGGCCAGATGGGAGCCAAGCCGCTTGCTTCCCCTTCCCTCTGCAAGGTTAGGTTGGAGCTGTGCTGCACCCCCTTCTGTCCATAAGTTTGGGTCGTGCCCCTTTCCTGCCACCTGACTAGGTTGGGGCTGGGCCATACTCCCTTCTTTCTGCAGGGCTGGCCACATTGCCTCCGTCTGTGCAGCTGGTTTGAGGCTGGAGGGCCAAGCCATGCCCCCTTTCTCTTGTAGGGCCAGGCCATGCCCCCTTCCCTCATGGGGCTGGATCACAGCCCTTCCACCCTGTGGGGCCAGGTTGGGGCTGGCCCAAGCCCCTTTGCACTGTGCAGGTGGATCAGGGTCAGGCTGCCCCTTTCTGCCCTCCGTGTGGTTGGATGGGGCCCCACTAGATCCGGCCCTCAAAGGGAAATGGCGCTGCCCATCCGGCTCACCAACCGAAAAGGTTGAGCACCACTGATTTTAGAGCAATAATACATATTTTTGCAAGTGAAAAAGTGACTGTTTCTGCCTAGCTGGGCGGGCGTCAAGAAAACTTAGTGGCATAGTCTTGGGTGGTGCTGGTTTGAAGAGAAGGTATATTGGTAGATCTTCCACATTTGTGTACATAAAAACATCTAATGACTGAGTCATACAGAATACTTAAATTTTATACTGTCGCATTCGGGAATGTTGTAAAAACATGTTAGAATTCACTTTCTAGCATTTATATGATGTAGCTGAGCAGTTTGTTTGTAACTCCTTTATATATTCTTGTTTTATAGAAAACTGCAGGATTTCATGGAAGATGAGGCAGAGCTATCAGGGAGTGACGTAGGAAGTGAGAGTGAATATGATGGTGAAGAGCTGGATGAATATGAAGAGGAGATTATTGATGAAGAACTCCCTACTGATATGGAGCTAGAGAATCAAATAAAAAAAATACACATGTCAGTACCAATATTGGTGTAGTTATGCACAACCATTGCCCTGTGTGTGACATGTTAAAACTCTTATCTTTTGTGTTATAATCTAGAATGATGACACTGAAGTATGATTCTCTCTCTTCAATTTTGATGCTAGGAAGGCAATGCTTGATGATGACAAACGTCAGTTACGCTTGTACCAGGAAAGATACCTTGCTGATGGAGACCTGCACAGTGATGGCCCTGGACGAATGAGAAAATTCAGGTGGAAGAACATAGGTATAATTCTGGCATGTTAATATTCTAATTACAGCTCAAAAGCTAGTGAGGGGGGAATGTAAAGTACTTCAACAGGGATCTGAATATGAAGCTCATGGTAGTAAGATGGATTGTGAGCCTTTATTTAAAAAAAAAAACAACCATTTATTTGGTAACTGGGGCTAGGAACTCACTCTAGCTTTCCCTCTTGAGTCCCAGGTCACAGCATAACTTCGGGTTGGAAAGTCTAAAGACCAAAAGTTACTTAAGCGATCTTCATGGAAACAAGCACTTTTGGGGAATTCATGCTTTTCTACTAATGTAAAAATAAATATTTTGTCTCTAATTGCAGCTGTTAAAAGACTTTTCAGGTTTTAAGTGTCTGTGCACCATTAAAATAGAATAGAGCACCTGTATTTCATTTTCTTAGAGGTTTAGTTCAGGAAAAGTTAAGAGGAAGCTGATGAAATCCAAAAGCTTGCCTTGTGGCATGCTGAGGTGGTATCAGGTATTGATTAAGACCCCTTTATGAGCTGTCAGTAGGACACAAACCTGTAACTTCTACCACTTGAGCTAAAAGAGCATTTCTGATTGATTGATTTTTAATCCGTAGTAGGTTTTTCTTTATTCCCTGAATGTAGCCACTAGAGGGGGGCATGACATAACCAGTTTGTTAAATACTAATAATCATTTTAGCAGTTCTTTATATATTGTTATGAACTCCCATAGGACAACACTACTCTGACAAGATCTGGTTTCCACCAGTATTTTTCCTTTAAAGGAGTCATTCAAGGTTTCCTCGGCACTGAGGAATGAAAAGAATGTAGCCTGTTCTGGCCAGATTTTAGAATTCTTCCACTTGTTGGAAATATCCACGTTTTCTCTGCGTGTCAGCTCAGACAAATTAAACTCTTATAAGTGACTACCGTGGCCTATGTGGAGGGGAAAGGGGAATGCTTAGTTGGACAAATGAGAAAAACCCTACGGAATTCCGATTTTATTTCCCTTGGAAATACTTGAAATATTCTTTCGGACAGTTTTGAATTTACTTTAAGGTTTTTCTTGGATAAAGCAGAGCACAACTTAATGTGCTGGGGGAAAATTATTTGTGTACTGATGTTTGTTTCTTTTATATAATACTTGCTTACTTGTAAGCGAATAGGCTAGAGACTGTCAGACATGTGCATTCAGATTATGCATGTGGAATATCTTCTAGTTTTTAATGCCAGTAAGGAATAAGCAGTGGACTGTGGCAGTTGTAAATAGATGGTAAACTTAATATTTATCTTCTCTTGGCTACCAAGTTACCTTGTATATTTAAATAAGAATGTGGTTTACATTTACATAAGCAGCAAAGAACTCTGTCTATAGAATGCTTGAGTATCTTGCTTTAGTTCCTCTCGCTGTTTAAACCTGGCCAAATAGCTTTAATCTTGTCAAGTGATGCTGCCTATAACTCCTTATAGGAAACATTTCCACTGGGTATTTCATCTCTATTTTGCTAAATGTTCTGGCTCCGTCTGTCATGCATCTAAATGAGAGGAAGCATTCTGCATGTAATTTACTTCTTGGAAATGTATATCTGAGTTGTTTAGGAGATGAGATTTCTGTCAAAGAGAATTTTGTTGGAACTTGACTAGTTTTAATAACTTGTTTGACCTTCATTGCTTCTGAGATGCTTACTGGCTTTGCAGGGGTGGGAAGTTTTTAACCTGTGAGTGCATGTATTTAATATTTTACATGTACTGCTTTCTCGAGCAACACAAGTAAAGCTTTTTTGAAGTAACTGTCTTTTTAGCACATATCTACATTCATCATGTCCCCTGCATTTGAGAACTAATTGCTGTCCCCTCATCTAGATGATGCTTCCCAATTGGATATGTTTCATGGAGACTCTGATAATGATGAGGAAAATGAAGAACAACTTGATGAGACAGAGGCAAAGTGGAGGAAAGAGCGGTTTGAACGAGAGCAGTGGTTACGTGAACAGGTATGGAGTTAGGTTGCAGTGAAGCTACTGCCTTACTCTGCATGTAACTATATATAGTTAGCAGATGACAAACAGATGCTTCCTTGAGTTAAAAATTGTATGTTATAAACATTCTGCACTTGTTCCATCTGTGGTTCCTTAGATTTGACTAGACCTTTACATTTTTAAATATTCATTATAGAAGGGACAACTACATCAAATGAGAGGTGAAATTACCTCTTAAGTTCCTATACAAAGACAGTGGCAGAGCCTGAAGGCCAGTTTCCTGCTCTAGAACTGTAGCTGCAAAGCTGTTATGCTTCCAGGTTGACAAAGGTGCCTCAACTGAACATAGTGTCTGAGGACTGAAATGTGAAAGCCTGTAGTTCAGGCTATCATAATAGATTAAAGGAAGCTGATAAATGACTTGAGAAACTGCAGGAAGCTTTACCTCCATGGAGTTTTTATTGTAAAATTTATTGTAGGAAAGGAATTAACTTAATTCAGGTCACCAAATGAAACATGCATTTTGAGTTGTGGTTTTCATTCATTATTCATCCTCACAAAATATCCTTTCTCTTTATTTCAGTTAGAGAAAGGAGACAAGAAGGAAGAGAAGGAGGAGGAGGAAGAAATAGGTGAAGATAGTCAATTCATGAAACTAGCAAAAAAAGTGACTGCTAAGTCTCTGCAAAAGAAAGGTAGGTTTATTTAAGACAGGAGTGGCCTCTGCAGAGGCACAAACCTTGACTAGCCAGTGACCAGCCTGAGCCCTGGTGCAAGTAGCCATTTCTCTACCTGGCTGTAGAGCAGGATGATCTCCCCCAGAATTTTTTAAAGCTGAATGTGTCAATGCATTCAGTGATGCAGCTAGAAGCTTGACAGATGAAGACAGACTGTTTGCTAAAATGCTTCTTTGCTACTTAAGAAAAATTGTGTTGCTGTGATCAAAAGAGGAATAAGACTGTGGAAACATTGACAACAAAGAGATTTGTTGCCACTTTTAGCAAAGAACCTTTGGGGGTAGTGACATTCTTCACAGCACAGCTACTTCCCCAAATGGTTACAGCTGAGGAAAAACGAATACCACATTTTAGTTGAGAAACCACTTGAATATTAAGGTTTTTCCTTGCACATGGTAGTGTGATTCAAAGTCTGCATAACTGCCTCAAAATTAACAAATTCCCTTCCAAATCAAAAACATTTAATGGCTAGTAATGTTACCTATCAGTCGTATGGTTCATTGGTCAGTTTAAAAAAAACAACACCTGTCTGTGGCATTTATTGGAACAGGACTGGTATGATTCCTACATACTTCCTAGTTTTGTATCCAAACATAGTCTTTCTCATGATATTTAGGAACTGAAGTTTCCTTCTTTGTTTCCTTCAGCTAAACCTGTAGCAGCTGTAAAAGAAGCAAAATCCTTGCCAAGAAATCCTTTTGAAACATTCAAACCTGCCAGTGACATGATGGTTGGTATTTACATTGCATAAACTTGTATGTTTTCATGTTGCATTTATAGAATGCCCTTAAAAAGGCAGGTAGCAGGTGAAGGCCCAGCTCTAGAAGAGTTCTAAGAAGTGGATTAGATACCAGTGTGATATTGTGACAGTCATATCTTTTGTAGAAACTATATTGTGTTCTGTTCTGCATGCAAGTGATTTTTTTTTTTATGCAAGGTTTGTTTATTCTCTCCAGGTAAAGAGTGGATCACTTCTGAACAGACCTAAGTCTGTTCTTCAGAAGCTAGCAGCCATGTCAGACCTTAATCCAAATGCTCCCCGAAATTCAAGAAATTTTGTCTTCCACACCCTTTCTCCAGCTAAGAATGAAGAAGCACAGGAGAAATCGAAACTGCAGGTAGAGATTTACGTGGGATGGGCTACTAGTGTTTAACTTTCATAGTGTATTGCTGTGTTTAATGCTTGATTCAATTAATAGGCTGCATTCTTACTAAAAGTTAGCATTCAGGCAGAATCCTGATAAGCTGATGGAAGAATCTGTCCTTTTAGCAGGATCTCAAAATATTTTCCTATTGTATCTTGTTTTAGGTGAAAAAGAGGGGTCCTTCTGCAATAGTGACACCCTCTCCCAAACGGCTGAAGACAGATGGTGCTGCAACAAAAGGGAGCCAGAGTCGAAGCATATTCCAATACTTGGAGAACTGAATAATTCTCTCTCTGGGGCCAGGAATTGTAACTTGTCCTTTTGTCAGCCAGCTGTATGTGCTTTTAAACGTCCAGGGGAAATTAGTTTTCTTTGCTATTTTTGCCCTGGCTGCTTTTTACTTGTGTCAGTTATCCTGGCAGACTCAGTGCTTTCCAGATGGTGGCCTTTATGTATCTCACCAGGTCTTTGCCAGCATTCCACAGCAAACAAGAAGTCTTAAAATCCATGCTTTAATTGGTCTGAGGCATTAACTCAGTGTCTGCCCACGCATTACTAACATTACACTACAGAATGCAGACCGTGTGGAGTTATGACACAGTGTCACTTCCTTCCACAAATTCCCTTAGTGCGATGGTTTGTTTTTAGAATAACAGTGGCATCTGTGAATGGCAATAGTTTTGGCGTGGTGAGATGTAGGATCTTTTATATAAAAGAAACAAAAATGTTTCCATGTACTGTTTACAGCTGCAGTAGTAAAGTGCTGTTATCTTCTATCGCGCCAAAA